AGTATATAAGCCGTTCTGAAAATTCTCAGTAAAAAAAAAAGTAAAAAAAAAACTTTTTGTTAAACTCACATGCACGTAATAAAAAAATACACTTCAACTGAATTTGAAGTTTTGGGCGACCAGTTTTCAGACTGTCAGACTTCTTATGAAAGAATGATAAGTAATGTAAGTTGAAATGGTATGTGAAGAGACTTAATTTTAAATTTTATTTTATATTCTTCAGCTAACTCTCCTAAAAAAAAGAATTTGTTTGAAATTAAATCTGTAAAAAACGTTACAAAAAAATGACTTTTAATTCTTTGTGGGGTGTTTTTATGGTATAAAGAATATACGTTCAAAGTTTCAACAATACCTATGAGAAAAACCTGTGTGATAAACGTCCTTGACGTCATTTTTTGCAAGTTTGTTTGAATCCAGAAACGCTGCAAAGTTTGGCTTACAAGGTGTGTACAGACTAAAATAACTATTTGTTGACTTTTTGAGAGACTAAAAAAATGATTATTTGGTAATCTGATACCTTTTAAAAGTAGGGTTATAAACTTGATTCAGGGATTACTTTGTCCATTAATAGTTATTTGTAAAATGTGTGTTTTGAAGTTTACTACTTTTCAAACGAAAGACATCTGTCACAGTTTATATGGTTGTTTTAGCTCCCTGAGATAAAGTGTCGAGAAATCGTTGCACTCTTGTTAGTATTTTAACATGTAATTCCTAACTATGATTTCCGGATGGTATAAGTTAATGACTCCGATGACAAGGCAAATGATTAAAACATTTAAATTATATTCGTAAGTTATCATTTTTAAAGTGGTAAAAGTTAAGTCTTAAGAATGTTAGGCATAAACTATTGTTTGTTTATATTTTTAAAAGTTAGTGCGGTACCACTAACTGTCTTCTATGTTCTTGCTAGGGTCTTTTTGTACATGCGCTGCTGGAAGTTTCAGATACTTTATCTCAAAGAGTGAACCAACTGTATAAAATGTGCTTCAGTTATGTTACGGGGTAATTTTCGTACACCTAGACTCTGCTCTGAAAGCAAAAAACTTTAAAATATAGGCTTTATGATTAGTAAAACTTCACATTTTCGCAAAACTGTTTGATGACGAAGCTTACTCTTTTCACCACTTATTGTATACGCAGATTTTATGATTCAATGAAACCGTAGACATTTATAGTCATTGAGTTAAAAAATAGTACTTTTTGTTGTATTTTTTTTTTTCAATAAGCACAAAGGTAGCATGTACATACATTTGTTTATTAAAAAAAAATTGACGCAACGTCGTAAAAAATATTAATGGACTGTCCTTATTTTATTAATATCATAAATATCGGCATCTTTTTGCGTTGATAATTATTTATAAACCATAAAAGAAAAATTTTATAAAAAAAAATCTATTTTCTTCTTGCTTCAGTCATTTAATTAAAAGATAATGCTAACCTGTTAATGAGTCATGCAATCATGTAATATACTTGTTTGCTTCACAATAAACTGCTTTTATCGTGCAACTAATTATACATCAAGCATAAACAAACGAAATTAATTAATTAACATGCATGAGACTAGGATGGTTCGAAAGGATAAATACAAGGTCTAGGTTTGAAATGGAGGAACTCAAGCGACACAGATATACCTTAACCTTGCAATTTCTCTCATTATTTCTTTGTTTTTTGCCTCAAGCTGTGATATAAGCTCCCGTTGTGCTCTTGATGCTTCCAAAGATGCTAAATTAGCGTCTGATGGTGCTCTGCTCTATTTGATCCAATGATAACATAAAAAAGATAAAATTTAGAATTAGTTAAGTTTAATGTAGGATGTCACTAAGTTATTCATCCAAGACTAGAAATAAAGAATGAACATATACGTGTTTATATCCTTATCTGCAGTTAAATATACTTACCGCCTGCTCGCCAGCTTGCGACAATCTGGATGAAGCTCGAGGCTGTCAAAATAATCAAATTAACAATAACAGATTCCTCATTTATTAATTGAGACGTTACAATTTGTGTCATTTATTTTATTAGTCATCCTTATTTATAATCAATATTAGTATTAACAATATTTACAATTCAAACTTACCATGGTTCTTGTTTCCTGCGATAATCTTTGGGCGTAAATGGCAATTAATTTGTGTTCGTCATCAAGTCGTGAACTATCCATACTACTGAAAGGGAAAAATAATTAAATCAGACTCCTGCAGGATGAATTTACCTCAATATATTATAAAATTTTGAATATTCGGTAACACCTTCTTAACGTGGAACGGCTATCCAAAGAACCAGAATCGAATGGCACCATGTATCCTTGATCAGGAAATCCATTATGAGACGGTATTGGGGATGGAGGTCTATAATAAACATCAATGTTAATATTAACTACTAATAAAAACATATTTTCCAGATTATTATGGTATTCATTCATCTATTTTTCTATTTGATTTGATGTGAGACAAATTTGTAACTTACACAATGTGAGATAAGTCCAATGTTTTTTCAGGTTGCTCTGGAAACCTGGGAAGACTGTGTCTTCCTTTTTCTGGAATGCATCTAAAGCTTTTTCTTAACGAATGGCCGATTTGCTTACTTGGAGATTTCTAAGACATTCATTTTATTAAGAAGAAGTTTATTACTTGGTAATTGTTAATTTTTTGCAATTGATGAGATCTTACAAAACTACTGTATTCCCTCGTTTCATGGTCATTATTATGGGTGCCAGACGTTTTTCCTCTCCAAAAACAATCCTGGCAAAGTTGATAAGAATGACATTTCTGACAACGATATCGAAATCCATTGAAGTTTTCACGATGGCATGCATCACACATTACAGGATGTGTCACTGGAACCATAAAAAATTTCACCATCATAAGTTTTAGTCTAATTCTTTTAGAAGGCTCCAGTGCCTCACGATACTTAGCGTTGCAGTTTTTAGGGACCTATTAAGAAGTTAGAAGTTACGTTCAAGTTGCAAGTATTTAATTAATATTTAATGAAACAGGCTAAAAAATTTACAGATATCTCTGAGACTGTCTAGTTTTATACGTTTTTGCCAAAAGTCTGTAACTTTTTTTGTATTCTAGAAAAAAAAACAACTTAAAAATGAATTCCTTCAATCGACAAAAGTATATTACAAATTTTCGATGGTCGGAAATTTTTTAGTACTACATATGAAACAAGGTAGAATTAGCAAAAAAAAAAAAAGAATAAAAATAAGAAAAAAAAAGTGAAATGTAAAACATCTATTGAAGCAAAAAAATTTTGTATTGAAGATTTAACTGTCAGGTATTGATTTTAAGAAAAACTATAACAAAATATTGACAGCTGACGCACCACAAAAATGAGTTTTTCATGTCTGGAGAAAAAATTAGTTTTCTACGAAAAAAAGGGATGCAACAAACGAGCACAATAAAAAAACAAAGAGTATGAACCCCCTGAGAGCAAAATTTGACCATCAGGTCATCCGAAATTCTAAAGATATCAAGTTTTTCTTGCAAAATTCATGAGTCACGTTCCGGAAGCGGTAGAATTCTGAAATTTTCATGACATTATACATATTCTAGTTCTGTTACTACAATAACATTTTATAATCGAAATGTTGTAAGCTTTAAGCAAACTGTTGGATTTTACAAAAAGTGACCTTTTTTTAAGCGATTGGGAGGGGGTTTTAAATTTCAAAAAACGTTATAACTTCAAAGCCTCAATATTAAGGAGAAGTTTAAACATAGAAATCTAAATTTTCAGATCGTATGATAAATGTACATTTATTTATCAGTCAATGAAGAACAGGCACTTTGTACGCGCACTGTGGAGGTGGTGGTGAGAGTGGAAGGAATAGTCTCCAAATTGGACAATTGATCACTAAGGGTGATTAAAATTTTGATCGTGCCAGAGGTCAATAAAAAGATGTGACCGATAGAGATATATTTTTAGCTATACATGCTGGTATTTCCATTTTTGTTGTATCTGCTACTGTTAACGAATATTACACTAGGTGAAATAAATATTTCGATCTAAAAATTTAATGGTAATTGCAAGACTACAACACTGACAATAAATTCAAATATCAACTATTTACTAGCTCGAAAATGCGAGTTATAGATTTTTTAAGTTTAAACAAACTCGGTTTTCACGAATTTCGGGCAAATCAATAGTCCAGTTTTGCTCTTTAGTATAGTTCAGTCTCTTTGTTCTTTATATTGTGCTCATTTGTTGTATTATTATTATTTTTTTTTTTTTTGCAGAAGTTGGAGTTTTGGCTCCAGACGCAAAAAAAAGATTTAGAACGAACCCCAAGATCGTGTGTACGAAATTTCAAAGTAAAGTATTGAAAATAAAAAATTTAAGTTAACAAAACTTTGATACGTATTTGGAGCCATTTTTTCAGATGATTATTTATAACTAAAAAAAAAAAAAAATTTCACTACCTTGGATCGCCAAGGCGCAAATGCGTTTACAATTTTACAAACTTTAATGTTATATGCAGCTTGTAGCCATATGATGCCATGCCAGATATTTAGATCTTTGTAGCCTGAGCTTTACAGCCTTCTAAGGCCAAAAGTTTTTATTAATAAAAGTATTGGGATTATGCCTCTACCATGTGACCTCAGTCTATATATGACTAATATAGAGGAGAAATAACACAGGTCTTATGGGAGGAATCTTGTTTTTACTTTTTTTTCGCACTTAAAAAGATATTGAGCTTTAAAAAGTTGTTAATTCCATGTTACTGACATTATGAGAGTTAAGTAGTAATTTTTTTCCTTTGGTGAATTCGTTTATGAAGGTTGAAAAAGCATTTTGAACGTATACGGAGTGCCGTTAACACTTCTTTGAGCTGTTTGTTTACCTCTGAGCACCAGCAGCAGAAGCAACAGTAGCAACAGCTGAAGCTGTAAAATGTACGTAGAGTTGATTAGTATTATGTATTATTTATTGCGTATTTTGTTTTAAACCCATTTTATTTTTTTTAATATCATTTCCAGAAAAGTTGAACAGGACGTGATCGTGCAATGAAGCTAATGTTGGCTGATATTTGTAAATATGGAGAGTGTTCAATTGCCAGCAGAAATTTTGTCGAGGGGGAAAAGTTGTTGAATGCTGATTATTTACTCAAATGTGGTAAATTAGCAACAAACAATAACTATGACATCGTAGCGTATTGTCGACAAGTTGAGATGTGAGATTGTACATGCACTTAACAGTCAGTAAGATTGCATAAAAGTAATAAATAAATAGTTAAATGATGATTGTAGACTGATTTGACATTACGTGAGTTTCAGCTGTTGCTACTGCTGCGCTACTGCTGTTTCTGCTGCTGGTGCTCAGAGGTAAACAAACAGCTCAAAGTAGGGTTAACGGCACTCCGTATACTTTCTAAACGCTTTTTCAACCTTCATAAACGAATTCACCAAAGGAAAAAAATAACTGCGTAACTCTTATAATGTCAGTAACATGGAATTAACAACCTTTTAAAGCTCAATATCTTTTTAAGTGCGAAAAAAAAAATAAAAACAAGATTCCTCCCGTAAGACCTGTGTTATTTCTCCTCTATATTAGTCATATATATACTGAGGTCACGTGGTAGAGGCATAATTACAATAGGGAAATTCACAACGCCGAGATATCCAGTCTTTTTTGTAGTCTAAAACAATTATGTGAAAAAAAATAGTCCAATACATATGCTGCAGCACAGCATGGAACAAACATTTTTCACCAAATCGCATCTTAAGTTTTTTTTTAACGGTTTTATCTCAAATTTTGTCCACACGGTTTAAATAGTATATTACGTACAAGTTTGCAAAGGCTTCGATTTACGAACGGAAAGGTTTACGTAACGAGGTTCGTAAAGAAGCCTTTTCGAACGAGTTTCGTATACTATTTTTCCGCATGAGAACCCAAAATCAAGCAGCGAAGGTGCTATTTTGAGGTTAGAAGGCGGAAATAGTCATTACGAATCCATTATTTGTACTACAATCAGAAATTCCTTTAATATATACAGCATTTAATGTGTGTACCAAATAAACAAACTCTTTCAAAGTATGGACATAAATGTTCATTTTATTTTTTTCGGTGTGAGAGAATCATTACACTATATGTTTCTTTGGAGATATGTCTGTTTAGTGTGACTAACATTTATTGATTTAATATGTAGGTTGAAGTTTGGCTGCCGATTGTGAAATGTAGGAAGTGCTTGAGGCACCTACTCAGGCAGGGCTGTTAATATATTTTGTAGAAGTCTCCTTGAGTGGTAAAACGTCGAAAATTTTTCATGGAAATAAGGACTCACATTCCACATATGGCTTTTTAATTGTTTGGTTTATTGGAGATAAATAATTATTTTAAATATTTCTCAGTTACTTTTATCATTCAATTTCATGTAACCAAGCAGTGACAGGTATCCAAAAGCAAGAAATTTATAATTTTATAGAAATTTATTGCACTTGTACACATGCACCACACCTGCATATGTTTTTGTAAAGTATTATTATAATATTTTATATCTACAATGTTAACCCTCTTTCATACTCTAGTGTATGGATATTTTAACAATGGAAAAGTGCAAAAATCGAATGAAAAAAAAAAAAGTATTTTTTAAATTCATTAGAGTTACAGAAAATAACAAATTCGTGAAATAAAAATTCTTTTTCAGCAGTGATAGATATTGAGAGTAAAAAAAAGCACCAAGAATTATCAGGGATGAGAAAATTCGCAGATCTGACTGACAGATTACACATAATATCCACACAGGCGTACACACTTACACACACACACACACACACACACACACACACACACACACACACAAAAGTACTCAACGAGAAATCATAGAAATAAATTTTTTAATGGTAGCAAGATCTATTAACATCATACCTGATTCAACGGCAGCCATTCTATGGTACAATGGCAACCATATTAGGCAGTGAGGTCCGGGTTCTGACATTAACGTATCCAAAAAGTCGTTTACAGTGATTTTTGCATTCTATAAAAATTATACGTTTAAAGTTGCACAAATTAATTTTTAAAGATCAACAACAAAGCATTGTTACACAAAAACTGAATTAGTAACATTTTTGGTTTTAACAATTTACGAAAGAGACTTACAGATGGAAATATTGAGCTTGCCAAGCCATCAGAGTAGCAAAAAGATGGAGACTCGTACACAGCTGCAGGCAGTGCCAATACTTCTTGTAGATAGTCTGAAAATCTCCAGTGTATCATATGGCCATTTCCGTCTGAGATTTGAGAAAAAATATCTAAAAACAATGGATTATAAGGTTTAGTTGTGTAGTCTGATACATATTAATTATAAAACTTATACATTAATTTTACTAACAACGAAATTTATCCATGAGTTTTCCAGCGCAGAGAGTAGCTAAAGCCATTTTGACCGAGAAGACTGAGATTTTATTGTTGTTATCCCTGAAATGGAAAAAAATAAGCGTAAGTTTTATTTAGTACTTTCCTGTTAATTCAAGAAAAAGTTAACACTTAAGTTTTTAAGTTATATTTGATAAATTAATGGAGTAGAACTGTCAAATTAATTTAAAGATGATATAAGAACAAAAATGCATTATTTAATGCCTATAGATCTTCTGCAAAATAACTCTGTATATGACACTCACCCATTTGTGTAAGCAGCTAAAAGCCAATTCATCAGTAGTGCAGTTGTAGCGTCAACTTTAGCATGTTGTGAGACTGGTACTCTTTTATTGAGTGCATGAAATAACGATGACAAGAGGGTTTCAAGTCTTGAAACACCTAACGTACTTGATGGATCGAAAGTATTAAGACTGTTCTCCCGAAATGCTTCAATGACGTTCCATATATCAACGTTGTGAACTGTTAATTAAAGTAATGCACGATTTGAAAATAATTATTTTGAATAATCTTCGTAATAAAAATAGATTTTTTGTAACTCTGTAATATACAGTTATGACAAAAATAATATAATACAAATTCTAATGACATCTGTCAGCATTAGATATTGATGATTTTTAACTATCATGCTAAAAAAAGTGACTGTAAAAAGTAGCTAAAAAAAAAATTCATATGTATTTTGAACTTACGATGAACTTTTTTCTGAATAAACCGCAGTTTACAGGCAGTGCGATAAGAAGAAAATCGAATACTGTCAAAGTTTTGGAGCCTCATTTCTTGAATCAGTTGGAGCCGATTGGCCTCACCAGTACTGGTGCAGCCACCAACTATGCTACTGCCACTGCAACTACCGGTGGAGCTGCTCCCTCCACCACAACCAATGATTGATCCATCTTCAGCCATTTTCTCTGAAAAATATAATCATATACATAAGTCATAAATGTGAAATTAGAAACAATTGTCACTGCATGTTGTAATTGTATGAATTTAAGTTTCCCTTAGATATTTATATGTGTATAAGTCTACTTATATAAGCTTACCACGGACAATAACATAAATGTTTGTGATAAATGCTGAAGCGTGTAATAAATTGATGTTTTATGATACGAGGTATGTTAGACGTAATTTGCGTAATTTAGCTATTTTTTAAATTACATATTGAGGTTCTCACATTTACTTTTAATTTGTAAGAAACTTGAGTGTTAATATAATTAGACAACGACTTCATTTTTTAATAAAACTTTTTCTTGGTAGAAAAATATACATCATGTTTTATTTTAGACTTAATTTCCCGGTGACTCAATCATCTATTTTTCATTCTACGCGTTTATACTTGTGCTTATTACAAACGAGGAATACCAATGCATAGCGTGTAAAAACTGGCTCATGTGGGTAAAAGGCAAGAGTGGTAGACCCGAATGCCTGCACAAATTGCTCCAACAAGTTCTGATTTTCTGACAACTAAGACGAAAAGTACTACGTGATTTGTAGTCTAACCATATGTTTCTGAAATTATTTATATTTTGAGCAGAGTATGATAGAATTAAAAAAGTCGTATATTTTGTAGGTTAAAACATTAAAAATGTAAATTTAAAGCCTTAAGAAGTAATACCCATCGAATAGAAATTTTATCGAGGAGGAGAGAATCCTTCATACGGGGCATATCTGTTGATGTGGAAAAATATCAAACGGCAATGCATTGTTCAACATTATATTATTATATTAACAAACAAGTGGGGTCGATGAATGCTGTGCTTACATTACGTTACGTACTATATTTACATATGCATGTCAATATATTTTTCATTAGCTGGAAAAGTATGAAATGGCAAATAAGCATAGGGGTAAGCGCGTGGTGGCTCAGTCAGCTAGGTCATGGTTCAGCTCGTGGAAGACCGCTGTTCGATTCTTGGCTAGTACGGCCAGAGATTAGTAGGGAGATTGCTGACTGCCTTGCTATGGAGTGTGCCCACTTTTTTCCAGTGGTTCGAGCGCCCCGCCGTGGCGAAGCGGCCGAACCAGGCGCACATTTTTGTTTTTATTTGAGAAGCACGGTAGGGGTATACGGAAGCGCCTACCCGCCATCTGCTGGCAAGTTTACTTGCTTAGTTGCCTGCTTGCTTGATAGGCCTGATATAGGCAACGCATCTTGATTGCTTTCCCAGCTGTGCAAGCAGAAACCTAACCTAACGCGTGTTTTTTTTTGTTTACAAACAAAACTTTTGAATCAAATAATTACATCTAAGATCGGTAAATAGTTAACAATTGTTTATAAAAACAGGTTCAAACGTTTTGAATAATGTTATAAATTCACCGGAAAGAGAAAATAAGTGTATAGGTCGGAAAATAAAAATATGGAAGACAAAGTAGAAATTATTTATAAACATGAAAGCAAGTTTATAATGGTCACCAACAGAAAAATTAATAAAAGCGTTTTACAAGAATACTTTCCGAAATATGGTTATTTAACGTACAAAGTTGCTGATGAAGTTTTCATGCTTCACGATGAAACATGATGATGGACAGCATGTATGTTGACACCCTAAAATTAACACATACTTTTATAACATTCAACAAGCTTTGAATAGTTCGGTATGTTATTTAAAACTCTAAACATTAATAAAATGATTTACCATTTAAGTTGACTAAATTAAATTTGATTCATATTGTAGGTTGATGCAGATAGAGTAGTTATTTGCAGCGTAATCAAAAAGTATATTAAAAAGAACTACTCCTACAAGGTCATTCTGGAAAAACTAGAAAATAAGTACGGTGTCACCATGTATCTCCGAACTTTCGAAAGATTACTACGCAAATGGAACCTGCGAAAAATAAACATAACAGAAAGTTCAATCATTCAGATTATGCTTGCAATTTTTCTGGAGTTTGAAGGAAGTGGCTTCAATTTAGGCTACAGAGCCTTGTGGAGAAAGCTACGATCAACATACTTACAATCTAACAGCTAAACAGAAGACAGTCTTGCAACTTCTGAAGAAAATGGATCCTGAAGGTGTTGAAAATAGATGCAGATATAAGTTAAAAAGACGAGTATATTCAGTTCCTGGGCCTAATTTTGTTTGGCATGCTAATGGGCATGACAAATTAATAAGGTTTGGTTTTGCAATCTATGGATGCATTGATGGATTTTCCAGGAAAGTAATATAAGCTGTATATCTTACAAATAAATGTTTAATAATTTTGTTTTTTTACTTAATTTGCTTCAATCATTCCAGATTTTGTGGCTTGAGGTTGGAACTTCCAACAACAATCCAGCTATAATAGGATACTATTTTTTAAAATATATACAAAAAGTGAAATTTCTACCAACCATTATCAGGACTGACAATGGTACAGAAGCTGTGCTGATGGAAGACTTCCAAAAATGTTTGAGATATTACCATGAAGATGATTTTGCTGGACATAAAAGTTTTCTCCGAGGTAAAAGTACTCAAAATCAACGCATAGAAAGTTATTGGCGACAGTTTAGACAACACTTAGAGGATTTTTACATAAACCTTTTTAAATCAATAGAATTGGATAGAACATTAAACATAGGCAATCCGATTTATATTGAATCTCTTCGTTACTGCTTTGGACCACTCATACAAGCAGATATAATAAAAACCAAAAAGGAATGGAATCAGCACCGAATGAGAAAGCAGAACTCCAGAAATATTGCCAGTGGAATACCCAATGAAATGTTTCACTCTCCAAACAACTTTAACGCTTCAGATTGTAAAAAACCTGTTAATCTGGAACACGTTAGAGTACTTTTAAATGATTATTGTGTTGAGAGCAAATTGTACTCCAGTGACTTTGAAGAACTAGTTAAAATGATAATGCCTGGACCCATAGTCCCAACTTGTGCTGAAAAAGCTTATGATATGTACTTGTATATAACTAATATTATAGATAACTATGAATATTAAAATCAACAAATGTTTAGCCACAAACTTTTATATAAGACGTCAATAAAGGGCCCTTGACCCTTGAAATTTTTTTTATNTTTTTTTTTTTTTTATTTTTTTTTTTTTTTTTTTTTTTACAAAGATAAATATCAATCAGTATCTTGAAGGCGCAAAAAATTAGCAATACAGCAATTTAAGACAGTTTCGTAATCAACAGATATAAGTTTCATTTTGTACATTATAATTTAACAATAAAACAAGTTTGTCATAAAAAAACCATATTTATTTTATTATAAAGCTTACATCGTAATTCTTTCATCCCTTTACAATAACATTTTTATTTTTGATCAACATTGTAAAGGGCTTAGTGCACTACTCTAATAACAGGTACTCAGATTCACAAAAGTCTTAAATGTTAATAAATTACTATTATGTAAAAGTTCGTGCATCACATATTCGTTACAAGCATTTACACATTTAATATGGCATAATTTAAGGACTGTGTTGGTCACCTATTAATATTCTAAAAGTAATCACATTCTTTTTAATAAATACGATAAACGATATTAACAAAAAAGCAAGAGCCAATAAAAAATCTGCACACATAGTGTAAGTTATTACTTAACTACTACTTTGAAATAATTTGAGTAACATACTTATTTCTGGCCTTTTATTTGGTTCATAACTAAAACACGATTGTAGCATTGGTTTTAAAAATGTTGGGATATTGATAAATTTTGGAATGGTACTTTTTTGAAAAATCATCACAATTGATAAAATATTTAAAATCTGCTTTTCGTGACACATTTCTTTTTCACTGAATAATTCTACAAGACTACACCCCAAAGCCCAGATATCGAAGTACGTAGTTGCTTCTTTTCTATCCAATATTGCTTCTGGAGACATAAATACTAATGTACCTCTAAGGGTGCCAACACACGTAGAATTTAGATTATTATCTAAATCTCCACATTTTTCAAGACCTAGGTCACACAACTTTGTTTTATAATTTTTAGCCACCAAGATATTTCCTGGCTTAATATCCCTGTAAATAATTGGTGAAGGCTGATAATGCAAGTAGGCCAATGCAGAACATATTTGTGCAGCTACATACTTTTGTTTTCAGTTGATAAATCATATTCTTTCTTAACTTGATCATTAAAAATAGCGTCAAATAAAGAAAATGACTCAAAGAAGTCTGTGACAATGTGAAATTGCATCGGAGTGTAACTGAATGCCTGTACATTAATAACACCAGGATGACGTACCTTCTCTAAGAGCTTCAGTTCCTTGATAATAAATTTATCTCTGGTTACTCGTTGTATTGTTTGTATGGCTACATCATTGAACAAATACTTTCCTTTGCGCACGATACCTTGAGCTCCTCGTCCAATTTCATACAAAAAAGTTAGTTAACTTTCGTCAATCTGTGGAATTGTAAATGAAAATCCAGAAATCTTTGGCTTTTTTTTCAAGGATAAATTAGGAGTAGTAAGAATTTTATCTGAATGATGTTCTGATAAACAACCCTTATTCTCAACATTATACAAAGAGTCGTTATTAATAGGAGAAACGGTCGTTTTGGATTTTTTTTTTCGTTTGAAGCTTCATAATTTTTTAATAGATATTTTCAATAGATCACTGCATGAAGGTAATGCAATTATACTGGATGTCGAATGCTCTACAGTTCTGTCATTTTGCAACTCACTATCAGTATTATCTACTATAGAGCTCTCAGTAATGGTTTTCTCTTTAATCTTCGAATTTTCATTTACAACATAACATGATTGCTCTGATTCGCAGTTGCTATTTTTTTGTATGGAACCTTATCAGAAGTAGTATCAAAAACAAAGTTTGAAGGTTCCGTAGATGTAAAGCGTTTAGCTGCAGTTCGTATTAGTAATTCTGTCGTCAACTAGCAAATATTTAAATGGTGTGCGGCATTTCTGAGATATGTACTAAATTTCCAAAATGTGCAGAGATTGTTTTGAGCATCAATA